CAGTTGGGTACAAGTACTAACCCTAATTGGGTTGTACCCCATATGGGCTACCCCAGTACAACCTACACAAATGTATAAGCTATAATGTTTTGACACACCCCCAAAGGCAAAGTGGGGGAGAACAAGTGGTCACAAGACCAGTCAAGCAAAGCAAAGCAAGCTCAGGGTGGACCACAAAGTCACCACACTGTCCGAGCACAAGAGTAAGGCCACAAGGCCAGTTCACATGCAAGATCATATATATAAAGGTAAATAAGCAAGTGCAGGTCTAGAAAGAGTACAGTACAAACAAGATCAAGAAGTGAGCAAGTGAGGCCAGGTAGGCACAAGACCTAGCAAAGTACAGAAGCGCTGATGATCACAAGGCGGAAGGGCCTTGGTGAAGATATCAGCAGTGTTGGCCTCAGAGGCCACGTAGGTGAGGCGGAGCTGACCACGCTGCTACAACTCACGAGCCAGGAAGTAGCGGAGAGCAATGTGCTTCGTTCTGTGCTCCAGTATGTGCTCCCGACACAAGGCCAGCATGGCCTTGTTGTCTACGTACAGAACTGGAGGAGAACGAGGTGGCTCTCCTAGGTCAGTCAGTAGGTAGGTGAGCCAGCGTAGCTCCTGTGCAGCCATGGCCCCTGCGTAGATCTCAGCCTCACAGCTGGAGCTGAGAACAGAAGACAAGCGGGTAGACCGCCACGAAACAGAGCCAAAGCCAAGGCTGAAGGTGTAACCCTATGACGACCGGTGCACAGCCTGGTCGTCCGCCCAAGAAGCGTCAGCGTGACCTTTGAGGACCACTCGACGTCGCCCTCCAAGCACTAGCCCCATGCCCGACGTACTGCACACGTAGCGCAACACCCTCTTCGCTGCAGCCATGTGCTCTGGTCGGTGTCTCCCAGGAGCAACATAGCGTGCCAAGATGCTAAGAGGGTATGCAAGGTCAGGTCGTGTCCAGGTCATCAGGTGCATGAGGCAGCCAACAAGCTCTGGGTACGGGCCACTCGGCTCTACGGACTCATCCGAAGGCAGAGCTGAGAGCGAGTGGCGAGTAGAGGAGTGGCCTGAGGCAAGGAGTACGTGAAGCCGAAGCGCTGAAGGACCTGCTGCACCATGTGTGACTGAGTCAGGGTAATGGTGCGCTGTGCTCTGTCCCGGGTGATTTGCAAGCCAAGGTAGCTGCGCAGTTCACCCAGGTCTATGCACGTGTGTCTCTTCAGCAGCTCAGACTTCATGTGGGCGAGTCCAGCAGTGTCAGTAGTGGCAAAGACCAAGTCGTCGACGTACACGAGGATGTAGAACGGCGGCAGAGAGGTGTCGGTGCGTAGAAACAGCGACGGGTCAGCTGTAGAAGGAGCAAACCCAAGAGCCGCAAGTGTAGTCCTCAGTGTGTCGTGCCACTCACGGGGCGCCTGACGGAGACCGTAGACTGGCCGCCGGAGGCTCCACTGGGTACAAGGAGGAAACGACCCAGTGAAGCCAGGAGGGCGGCGCAGCCAGATCTCCTCGTGCAGGCTGCCCTGCAGGAAAGCTGTGCTGAAGTCAAGAGAGTGAAGCTCGTAGTCGCGCTGAGCGGCTATGTGCAGCAGCACCCGAAGAATGGTCATCTTCGGGGTGGGAGAGAAGGTCTGAAAGTAGTCAACTCCTTGCCGCTGACTGAAGCCTCGAGCCACGTAACGCGCCTTGAAGAGAGGCGGAGAACCCGGCGGCCGCTTCACCCTGAAAATCCACATGCCACTGATGATGTTCTCCCCAGGTGGGGGAACCTCGTCGATGTAGGTGCCTATGGACTTCCAGGAAGCCATCTCTGCGTCCATGGCTGATTGCCACTGAGAGCAGTAGGGACCCTCGATCGCCTCAGCGTACGATCGAGGAGTCGAGATGTCTGGTGCATCCGGGTCTCCCTCAGGGGCAATCAGCGTGGACACGAGATGGGGCAAAGCTGCAGCAAAGCACTGAAACTCCTCCTGCCTATCCTCAAGGAAGTCCGTGCTAAGAGCACACTCACCCTCGACGGACGGAGGACAGACATACTCAAACTCAGCAATGAGACTAGCAGAGTAGTCTAGACGATAGCGAGCAGCGAAGTCGACAAGCTCAGCAACTAGGGCAGACGCAGCAGTGGACTCAAAGGAAGGGTCACTGATGACAGTAGCAAGAAGGCGCGTGACCGAAGGACTAGCAGCACGAAGGGAGTAAGACTCCGGGTCAGCAAGAGAAGGAAGAGAGGACTCTGGAGGAGACGGCAACGGGACACGCAGAGGAGCAGTGGAAGGACGCAGTGCCATCTGGTGTGTGCCGGGGACCGCAAGAGGACGCGGACGCGCACCACGACGACTAGTTCGAGCAGCAGGAACAGGCGACGCAGGTCGAGACGCAGGCTCACGACGCTCAGCAAGACCTCCAGTAGGACCAGTGTAGGGAGAAGGAGCAGGTAGAGGGGAGGCGGGCTGTAACTGTGACTGCGACTGGACAGGCTATGGACACTCTAAGGAAGGAGTAGGACCAGGAGAGGGCAGGAGACCAAGAACCTGCTCCAGGAGCGGAACGAAGTACGGCCTCGGCCGCTCAGCGCCTCTAGAACCAGAAGGGACAGCACCAGTACCCCCAGCGACAGCACGAGCGCCAGCAGCACCTCTAGCTCCACCAGCAACAACCCCAGCACTCTCAGAAGCGCCAACGCTAGCAGCACCACCAGCATCAACACCCCTAGCAGCTCTAGCTCTAGCAGCACCAACTCCAGTAGGACCGTCAGCTCCATCAGCCTTAGCAGCACCTCCGGACGCACTTGCGCCAATAGAAACACCAGCGCCAACACCCCTAGCAGCTCTAGCTCCAATAGCACCAGTACTGCCAGCAGCTCCGGCAGGACCAACTCCAATAGCCCCAACAGCACCCCCAGTCTCAGAAGCGCGTCTCCAGCGGCGGGCAAACCAGTCGCGCAGCTCCTGTGGAGAGAGCGGCTCCTGCCTCGCCGAACCACCGCCGGCTGCCACACGAGCAGACCCAGCGCCCCTAGGCTCGGCACCCCCAGGCTCCGCACCTCCAGGCTCCACACCCCCAGACCCAGCACCCCCAGCCTCAGCACCTCGAGACTCAGCACCCCCAGTTTCAGCACCCCCAGACCCGGCACCCGCAGGCTCAGCACCTCTAGCAGCACCAGAGTCAACAGCTACCTTGACAGGCTCGACTGCATCTACCTGGGACACACCTGACGGGGCAGGACCCTGAGGGGGGAGGGGGTCTACCGGGGGAGGACCTGGTGCAAGGAAGAGCAGCGGCGGGGGGAGAGGTGCAGTGCGGTAGGGTAAGAGACGGTAGTAAGGTACCGACTCGTCAAAGGTGACGTCCAGGGAGGACAGAACACGGCGCGAGGTGGGGTGGTAAAACTGCCACCCAGGCGCGTCAGGGGGGAAGCCAAGGAAGACACAGGGAACAGCACGAGGGGACAGCTTGTCCGCAGACAAGTCGCGGACAAACGCCCGAGATCCCCAGACCCGAAACACAGATGCATTGCCAACCTTCCCGATCCACCGCAAGGTGGGGAAGGATTCTGGCAAGGAAACCCGAGGCTGAAGGTTGAGCTGATGCGCGGCATACTGAACCGCAAACGGCCACAAAAAATGGGGGCAGCCGCAGGCATCATGGAGGTACGAGAAACGTCCTTGACCATGCCAATGCGGCGCTCAGCATGATCTGGAGCTGGAGACGAGCTGCGCGGATCCAATCGATCAACACCTCAGTGACGTCACCCTTGCTGCGCAAGGGGAAGACTGTGGTGTAACGCGAGTAGTCGTCAACCACCAGCAGGAAGTACCACTCGCGCCCCTGCCCACTGACGCGGGCCGGGCCCCACACGTCCATGTGGAGAGTCTGCAACGGAGCCTCTGTCGGAGGAAACTCGGAGGAGTGAGGGGCGGCGCGCTGTCGCCCCTTGACGAAGGGGACGCAGGTAGGGCCAGGCCCCGGAGGAAGGGGAGGGAGAGACCGAGGGAGACCAGAGACAAGGACACGGGAGGCCATGCCTCGAAGACGACGCAAGGAGGGGTGACCAAGGCGGTGGTGCCAAAGGAGAGTCTAGTGGGACAGCAGGCAACACGAGCAGGGAGCAGACTCAGGACCAGACCTGGACGCCGCAGCAAACACCTGACTCGACACAGCTACTTGGGCAGACTCAGCAGCCGGAGGAGACTCAATAGTACGGGTGTACAGGATCGACCCTAGCCGACAGGTGAACGTGGCCAAGTGTCGGCCTCTTCGAGCACATGTGCAGTGGGTCACTTGCTGACTTGCATGAGTGAGCTGGTCAACCCCCCTATCCTGTAGGTCCGCTCCACTCACCAAGTTTGTAGAGAACGAGGGGAGGTAGAGATCTGACAGGGTGCCAAAGGGGGCTGCCGGGCACGGTAAGACAATGGAGAAGCTAGCAAGGACAGGACCCCCTTAGGGGTCCGCCAGGGAGACTGCAACCGGTTGACTGAGCGGCGTAAGAGTGGTGCGGTCTCGAAAGAAGGAGCGGGACGCACCCGAGTCAAGGGTGAAGGTGTGGAAGGCCTGAGCCGACATAGTACCTGAGAGAGCAGACTCACCAGCACCTGGGGCAGCAGACGCACTGGCACCTGGGGCAGCAGACGCACTAGCACCTAGAGCAGCAGCCTCACCAGCACCTAGAGCAAAGGCCTCAGTGCTCGGGTCAGGCGGTACACATAGGTAATAGTCACCCGCAACACTAGAATCAACAGCATACATGGCAGAAAGAATAGCATCAAAATCAAGATCAAATATAGCAACCCCCGCCCTAGACAGATCTTCCCAGCGAGGGATCTCTGACGCCTCAGGGAACAGGCGACGCCACGCGTCCGTCAGGCGACCGAAGCAGCGCTGGATTGAGTGCGGGCCTCCGCACTGCTCACCTTCTCGGTCGCCGGTACGTAGGACGTAAGTGCAGGGACCAAAACCCCCACCGCGCTGACGCTTAGTGTACCACTCACGAAGCTGCTGAGGGGACAGGGTCACACCACTCCGCTGCTGCTGGCGTGGTCCACCACCTGAGCCACTCCTCTGCGCAGAGTCGCGACTCGCTCCACCACCGCCACTGCCTCCGTCGCCTCCTCCATCTCCGCCTCCTCCGCCACCTCCGCCGCCTCCGCTCCCTCCGCCACCTCCACCGCCTCCACCGCCTCCACTGCTGCCGCCGCGGCCACCACCCCCGGCACCACTCCCACCACCACCCCCACTCCCTCCACTGCCTCCACCACCACCTCCACCGCTCCCTCCAGCCCCTCCTATGCCCTTGCCCTCCTTGCCCTTGCCGGTGCGGCATTTCCCGCTAGGGGCAGACGCAGCGCCAACCGACTCGAAACCAACGAGGTCGGCCGTAGCAGCAGAGGCAACAGAGGGCAAGAGGGGGGAGGGGGAACACCCCTCAAAGACGGGGGTGCGAGGGTCACCACGAGAGGCTCCTACAGCGACTATGCTCTTCTCTGCTGCCAGGAGGCCCTCCTCTAGGAGGTCAACGGTGAGAGTGGTGGGGCAAACGGAGAGGAAGTCGTCCCTGACTATGTGAAGAGAGTCAGGGAGGCGGATGACTATGTAGCAGAGGGTGGTGTACATTGGGGGGGGGGGGTTCTTGGCGCAGAACTCAGCAGGAAGCGCAGCGCGGTAGCCACTGCCACTAGTGCGGAGGTGCGTAATGAGGTCAGCAACTGTGGGAAAGGCAGCAAGGTCAGGGAAGAGGTACGGTAGCATGAGGCGGCTCAGTGCAGCAGTGGCAGGGGAAGAGTAGCATGCAACTACACCGTCGTACAAGGTCTGAGAACCCTTTTACTGGCTAAAGTGTGCACGCTCAGTGGTCGGTAAGTGGCGGAGCACAGCAAGGCGAGCAGCAGCATCACGCGTGGTCTAGTGTGAGCGAACAGTGGCGTCAACATCAGCAGCAGGGGCAGGAGAGGCACCAAAAGTGAGGTCAAGCAGGGAGAGACTGTCTGCCCTATCGCACTGTAGGAAAAGCAGCAGATCATCTACCTAGACCTCAAAGCGAACTGCTCGACCCTCAGCGTCAAAGGTGAGAACACTAGGGGAGGCCATGACAGCAGTAGACACGCAGTGAGTATAGTGGGGCAGGTTAGTGCAGTGGCAGAGACGCTGCTCTTACCAGACAAGTGGGGCCGTCCCGAGCAGGCCGACAGGCGGAAGCGCCTCGGCTGCGGCGCGGCTCGGCGGTCGGGCGGCTCGGCTGCAGGGCGGCTCGGCTGCAGGGCGGCTCAGTGGTCGCGCGGCTCGACGGCTTGGTTGCTTGGCGGCTCGGCGGTCGGGCGGCTCGGCTGCTCGGGGGTCCGGCTGCTCGGCGGCTTGGCTGCTTGGTGGCTCGGGCGCTGGGCGGCTGAGGGGCGACGGGGCCATGGAATGGCGGCAACAGGGTCATTGAAAGGGCGGCGACAGGCCGCTGAAAGGGCGGCGACGGGCCGCAGGAAGGGCGGCGACGGGGCTGTTGAAAGGGCGGGCGGCGACGGGGCCGCTGAAAGGGCGGCGACGGGGCCGCTGAAAGGGCGGGCGACGGGGCCACTGAAGGGCGGCAACGAGGCCACTAGAGGGCAGCGATGGGGCTGCGGAAGGGCGGTGTCAGGGCCGCGGAAGGGCGGGCGACGGGGCCGCTGTAATGGTGGTGACGGGGCCGCTGGAGGGCGGCAATGGGGCCGCGGAAGGGCGGTGTAGGGGCCGCGGAAGGGCGGGCGACGGCTCCGCCGTAAGGGCGGGCGGCGAGGCCGTGGAAGGGCGGCGACGGGGCCGTGGAAGGGCGGCAACGGGGGCCGCTGAAAGGGCGGCGGCGGGGCCGCTGAAAGGGCGGTGACGGGGCCGCAAGAAAGGGCGGCGACGGGGCCGCGTAAAGGGCGGCGCGACGGGGCCGCAAGGGCGGCGCGACGGGGCCGAAAGGGCGGCGCGACGGGGCCCTTGGGGCCGTAAAAGGGGCCGCTAGAGGCCGCTAGAGGGGGACAGTGGCCAAGCGTGCTCCGGGCAGGAAAAAAAGAGGTCGGTGGGCCTTAGGAACAGTTCCCACGAGGGAACCAACTCTATACCATGTGAAGATTGGAACGAGAGAATGATTGAACTATGAAACAGTTGGGTACAAGTACTAACCCTAATTGGGTTGTACCCCATATGGGCTACCCCACTACAGCCTGCACAAAAATATATTAGCTATAAAGTTCTCACATTTGTTTCCATACTTTTAGCGCGAACACACATTGAGCTTTCCCTCCAGATTATTTCCTCACATGGAACGCTCTCGAAGCGTTGCTGAAATAATTCGAAAATCGCGCGTGCTGAGTTCCGACGGCGGTGATTCGAACATTTCACTTCGCGCCATTTATGAACAGTTACGATGAAGCCCGTTCGAATTCTGCACGAGTCAATATGTCGGTGGCGATCAGTTTCGACTCGATCAGCAACTCAATCAGCACCCAACTGATGCTCGCCACCTGTGCTTTGCTTTTGAGGCGTGAACACCAACTCGATCCGTATTAGGGCGTGTCCAGTTTGTTCATTTCGGGTTTTTTAGTACCAACACACATCTCGAGGCTCAAATATAATCACTGTACCTAAAAACGAATGCATTGTGAGTTGAGTCCAACCTATGTCTAATTTCAGGAGCGTGGACACGTTCCCCGCCACACGAATCAACAGTGTTCTGATCGCTTTCGAAACGAGGTAACAGTTTCCCTCGTCAATCATAGCTAACGAATTTTTGGGCAGGCGGGGGGGGGTGTTGGCGATTGTAGCGAGTTAGTGGCGAAATTGTGCAAGCGATTCAGGGGGGACCACTGTAGTGGCCAGAATGCGGTGCTGTACCCTTGTTCGCGTCCCCGCTGATTCCAGTAACGTGAGTCAGACGATTCTAGGTGTGAAAATAGTAGTAGGAGAAAGAGCCATAGCTAGGAAAGCCCTAGCTAGGCAAGAAACGATTTAGGGAAAAGAGGGGGGTCACTAGCAGCAATGAGGATACAAATAGCAAACCCTAGAAGGGTTGTACTCGCTATAGAGCACCCCACTACAGGCTAGAGAACAATAACATTCTGACACACCCCCATAGCCAAAGTGGGGTGTAATCAGCAGAGCAAGCAAAGCTGAATAAGCTCAGGGTGGATCACAATGTCACCACACATTCTGAGCACAAGTTCAAGAAGAAATAGTTTAAAGTTCACAAGTATGAGCAAAGCTAGAGGCTATCGCATAGGGCAAGTGAGGAGGAGGAGGCGAGAGTGTAAGATGCGAGGAGATAGGAGGCGACGACTGAAGCTGCAGACACACGGGCAACAGGAGGCACACTGGCACAGCGGCTACCGGAACAGCGCTCCGGACTACTGGAGTAACTGGCCCCGCGGCTAAAAGTAGCGGCAGACGAGCAACGGACCCACGGTCGACTGGCTCAGGTGGCTACGACTGGGCTACCGGAGCAACTCCCCGGACTATAGGTGCTGCTGGCGACACGACGGCAACCTCCGATCAACCTCCCCAAACAGTCCCACCCCCCTTGACACACACCCGCTGCTTCACCCCTAGCTCCACTCCCCCTTCACCCCCCCTTAGTACCACTCCGACGGCTCCAAGAGGTCCACCCCCCCCCCGCAGCGGTAGCTGCAGCACTAGGAGACGGAGGAGGAGGAGGAGCAGAGCACGGCACACAGAAGTTGCACCCCCATACCCCTCACCCCGAAACCCTAATCCAGAGGAAAGGGCAGAAGAAGGGGTGGGGCCCAAGCAGAGGCACGGGGATCAGCGAGTAGGGCAGGGGCAGCGAAGAAAGGGCCGCCAACGGGCCTGGCACAGCCGCCCGAACCGCACGCAGGCGGCCGGAGCCGCGCGTGGGCCTGGCGCAGCCCGTACGGGCCGCGCGCTGGCCTGGCGCAGCCCGTACGGGCCGCGGGCGGGCCTGGCGCAGCCCGTACGTGCCACGCGCAGGCTCTACAGGCCGCGCGCAGGCCACAACGGACGACGGGGGGCGACGCGGAGGTCCCCGTCGCCCGTCGCAGCGCCTCTCGGGAGCGAAGCGCGGCGTGACGGGGCAGAAACCCGCCGCGCGCATCGGGGCGCACGACGGGAAGAGAACCGCCGCGCGCCTCGGGGCGCACGGCGAGCAGAAAACCGAGCGAAAGCTGATTGTGTTCGAAGGACACGTTCAATACAGTGTTACAACAAAAAATGTGGTAACTGAGCGAGTTTACAAACAGTAAATGTACGAGCTGGACACCCTTTAAATAACATGTCGCGAGCATGTTAACACTTGTGTTGCTCCCACGTGTCGCGAACAGCTGCTCGCAAACTGACGAAATGAACACGCTGCATGAGCAGCGACCAATTAGATCCCTTCGGAACTCGCAGCGCGAGCAGCTTATTGCTCGCAAATGAACTGAACTCGTCGCACGAACATCAGCCAATCCCATTCCCCCAAAACTAGTGGTACGAACAGCTGCAAACTCACTCTCAATTCGATCTTGCATCTTGGGCAAGAACCGCTCGCTCTCATTGGTCTAGAAAGCACTCAACTCGAACTTGCACCCACCTAAATCCGAACTCACCTTTTGAGCAGCGCACTGCAGCCTCATTGGTCAATGTTCCGTTCGCCCCTACCACTCTGAACACCGCGTTTTCATCCCTGCCTTGCTCCCATTGGTCAAAATGAAGGGGCTGAACTAATTTCGCCCCTCCCACTCAGAACACCACCATTTCCCCCATGGCTCGCTCTCTTTGGTCGAGACCTCAGTTGACTTCGTCTCAAAAGTAGGAAACCCGTTTCCGCTGCAGCCCCCGCTAATTATTCTTGCGCAACCCATGTAAAGTGAAATCGGCTGATTGAATAACAGAAAATTCTTTCTGTAATCAACAACCTTGACCAGCGCAAAAAGTCAAAGGGGCAAAACCACTCGCCACTCATTAAAATGCACAAAAAATATTAACTCTCATGAAAACTCATGAAAACACATGAGAAACAATGACCGCACACGCAGACTCATGGACAAACCGAAACTCACAAACTTTCATGCGCTTTCTCGAAAACTCATGAACATTCATGAACTGCACTCACACACAAAAATGCGGATAACTTATGAACCGCTAAGGCGATTCACAACCCGTAAACGCACAAATGTAAAGCACACAAATACGCTCCTCACACTCCACAAATTACCTTCAAACAAAAACTCTCAATTTCCTTTATCATCGGCGAATAGGCGGTAGGTTGATGTGCAAACCACATTTTGCACTGTTCGAATTTTTGCCATAATGGGTTACATACTGTTTTGATAAGGGCGGATCCAACTTTGTACACTACCAGTTTTTTTGTTATTCATACGTCAGTTCTAACTGTACCCTTAGGCGTACCCCGAACATTCCCTCTTCAGGCATCGTTTGTAAAGTTCAAACTTTTGACAAGATACAATAATGATGCGATGTACAGTACCTAGGAGGGGGTTACCGAATATCATGAGGGTTTTCCATCATTCAATCTGTTGATTTTTCTTTATACAGTGTGAATCAAAGGTCTTCCGATTTGAATCCAAAGCGGAAACGAGTTTCCTGCTATCGAGGAGAAGTCAACGAAAGTCGTGACCAATGGGAGCGTGCTATGGTGGAAATGGTGGAGGTTTGAGTGGAGGGAAAAAAAAAAACCAGTCCCTATGATTTCAGCCAACGAGAGCAAGGCACATGTGAAAACATGGTGTTTAGAGTGGGAGGGGCGAAATGAACATTGACCAATGAGTTTACAGTTCACTGTTCTGAACATCAAAGTTCAGAATATCGCTGTTCAGAACACCACTCTTCGAAGGAGCTGATTCGGGGCTGCTTGAGCAGCTAGTTCGTCACCATTCGCGCTTCGAGTGAGATCAGTGCTAGCTGAACACTTGCTCGAGCATCCCAAATCAAGGGAGGCGGTTGCGCATTGAGAAAAACAGGTACATAGCAGACCATAGTTCACACGAAATTGAAACTCACCATCCGCCACGACCCAACAGTCATCGTTTTACCTGAACTACGGACAAGACCCCACAGTACCCATGACCCCAATGTCAGAAACAAGAAGTGAATGAACTAGACAACATTGCAGTACAAGTATGAAACCCTAGAGTTGTGTACCCCCTAAAGGCTAACCCACTATAGCCTAAACAGCAATAACACATATATGTGTTTGACACACCCCCATAGGCAAAGTGGGAGAGAGCAAGGGGTCACAAGGCCATTCAAGAAAGGCAAACAAGCTCACGGTGGATCACAACGTCACCACACACTCTAAGCACAAGCAAAGGGCCTCAGGGCCAGTTCACATGCAGAGGCATATATGCAACACAAACAACAAGGTGATCTCACCCTAGCAAAGCAAATTGGCAGGTATATATATATATAGAGAT